TTGGCCTCAATGAACACTTGTGTGACCTCGTATGTTGCTGTGATCCCACTGCATATTCAGAGATTAAGAAGGATGTAGCAAAGAAATCCTCCCCCTGAGAAAAATACATGTGAAGCTCAGCATCAGTTGCTTTCCTTACCTGGACCAACTTGGTCAGAGGAGCTCGCATACACCTGCACGCAACTGTGTCACTCTGTGAGGACAGACGCAAAGATTTTGCACGGAGGAGCAACGTGTGAGTTAGTGCATGAAGTCTCTGTCCCTGGAGAGCGGGGGGCACTGGGGCTGACAGAGCAGAGGGGTTGGTATGCACTCTCTCTCCCCATGAGAAGTTCCCTGAGGCATTTGGCAAGGGAGCTCCTGCTGATACAAGGCGAGCCTGTTCTTCTCAGGTTGCCGAAGCCTAAGACAGGGGTCAGAAGATGGGTGCAAAACCTCGAATGAGGAACACAAATGAATTATTCATGCAGGAAGCTGAAAATGCCGCCCTATTCCTTCCTTTCATACAGTCTTCAGTTCTGTAACCTCTATTTTAGTGTGCATTTGTAATGTAAATTGTCCTCTGCATTAAAGGCAAAGAGGATCACCAAACTGTGGTAGCTTTGGCAGTGGGTTGGCGGTTATTTCAGGGGCCTGCGCCACAGTGGCTAAGGTTTGAACATAAAAATTAACAGCAAATCAACCACCATTATCACAATCTTTTCTCTTCAGATATTCTTTGCTGTGTGAGACAACTTCTGAAATTCAGGCTTTATGTGACTCCAGGACTGCATGTTGCAGCAGTGTGAGCTCACTAGTGAAAGTGAACTCCAATTTACTAGCCATACCAACAGCCCTTTCCCTGCAGTTCAGCCAGGTTTTGCTGCACGATACCCTGGCAAGTAATAATGCAAAGTTACAAACCAAAGGTGTGAAACCACAGAACCAAGCTCTTACTGGTGGAAGCCCTTGTTTGTTAAAAGTGAAATACTCTACACTTTTGTTTTCTGGTCTAAGACAGAGATAAATGATTAAAAGATATTCTCTCTTGTTCAGACAGAAGTGAATTTTGGATACTACAAATTACTTTCCTTTGAGTGCTCTTTCTTGCAGATGCTGCTACTCCTTCCTGTAATTACACTGACTTTGTTTGCCAGATGTTCAGTGACAACATTATTCTGCTGTAGTCTGTTTTCCAGTTGCTTTATTTGTTCCTAGGACAACTCCTTCTTGCCTTTTCTTTCAGAGAGGAAATAGACAAAGGGAAAAAAAATGCTTTACAAATGTTTTAAAGTGCAAAAACTCGGACAATGGATTTTGCCCTTCTCTCTCTGTCTAGCTGAAACAATGAAAGTCCTGCACTTTAATCTTCTTAGCCCCAGGGGGGTCTTCTAATTATTGCAGCTGTTGCACAGGCTTATACATACTGACGTCCTCCTTCCCATTCATCTTTGAGGCTCTTTTATGTCTATTAGCTCCTCACTGGAAATGGAAGATCCTTCAGCTCTTAAGAATAGGTGAAGTTTACCTTTTGGATCAGGGTGAGGAGAACAAAGCATTCCCCAAGTTCCTTTCCAGGATTTACAAATGACCAAAGGCTCTTCTCAGGGCTGCAAAAGCTACTTTAAATTGGCAGTGATATTAACTCTTTAGTCCTGCTGTATTCAGGTATCACAGGGATTCCCAATGTACGCCAGCTAGGAAGGGCAGCGGTTGCTTCCAACCAGAAGTTTCCAATAAAAATTGAGAGGTGAGATAGGCGTTTATGGAGAACGCACTCATATATTTAAGCAGCAGGAAGCTTTAAAAAAATGCAAGTTCAGAGAAATATATTGCCATCTCCTGCTAAGTTAATGAACCTTTTGTGGTTGTACTGAGAAGCAGTGCCCTTGTGTCCAGCTGAAGTCATACAGCATCGGTTAAGCAATCCTGGGGGAAGAAAAAATCACCCCAAAAGAGGCAAGTAACCTAAATTAATATAAAATACATTTTAATTAAGATTAAAACTACAAATTGAATGAACAAACCACTTCATATACTTGGGCATTTCTGGTTTGAGCCTGAGCTACAGAGTCAATGTCAAACATTGTATACAACAGAAACACTGATGCTACCAAAAAAAAAAGGTTTAAGATGTTTGTATATATTCAACAATAACATGCAGCCCAGCTTGTGAATATTATTATGGGTTCATACTTATATTTCAGGGTAAATGTTTTATCCACTTCTGTTGTGAACTCTGTAAAACTTGCCCGTTTCTTATTTCCAGACCCAGAACACCAAGCAGGTCACTTGAACCCATGTTTTTATTTACTGCAGTACCACTGAATATAGTAATGCTTATCTATACCAGCAGGTAACTTGCTCACAGTGTCAACCAATGTTACTAAATTCTGAATATATTAAAATAAATATTTTAATGCATACCACAGCTTTAAAAAAAATAATCTCCAAATAATATTTTTTCTATTTTAAGCTTTTAAATTCCAAATGTAATTAGTTGCTGTTGCCTAACCCTTTCTACGTTGTGAGGTACTGCTCTGTGTTGGACATGTTGTAAAGGACCGTGTTGTTTAGGGTATACAAAGCCGAAATCTGCACACACGCATACATAAAAATATATACATATATGTATAAATCAATTTTTGCACATCTTAAGCAATGTAAATGGTATGTAAATTTGCCGTAATAGGCAATGGAGAATGTCCTGTAACAGGAAAAAGTGCAGGGGTACAGGAGCTAGTAAAGCTCTCTCTCTGATATTCCCTTTCAATCTCTCCTCGTACAGGTAGTTCACATGAATAAGAAAATGTGTTTGAGCCTGTGCTTTAGCACTGGGGCTGTCTGGAGCAGTGCGGCCCCCATTCATGTTATTGTGCTCCTTTGGCTCCCAGCATGGGATGAAGATGCCTGTTGGAAGTTGTCCCTAGTCTTTGTTAGCTCCTGAAGACTACCCAGAAATTGTTTGGAAGGGTGTTATGGGGTCTCGGCCAAATAATGCAGTGAACTAATCTAACAATTTAACAGTCTTGATGACTGAATTGCAGGCACCTGGAATATTTAACTTAGTAATATAAGCATAGCCATAATTTTTCAGGGTGTATTCTTTACTTGTTGCTGTTGCCAAATAACAGTTGGGTCCGTTTGAAACTGAAATCACATTGTTGCTTGGAAGAAGCACTGTTCATGATGGGTTCTGTCACTGGTTCTGAAAAGGCATTTTATGGGGACGCTAGTGGTCTGTAAGTTTCCAGTTAGTGGCTGCAAGCTGGTGTGTGACTCCATATTAAGTGATGAAATATGGGGATTCCTAGTGTTTCCTATTTCCCGTTTCTCTGCCAGTAGCTTTGATCAAATTGGTGTCTGATGATTGAGTACTACCCGTGAGCAGTTTCCAGATAATGCGTTCTATTTTAATTTCAGAAACCCTCTTAGTGAATCATGACAAGAAGAAAAAATGCATATTTTCTATTTATTGGCCATATCTAGACCCTTGATAAGTGGAAAAATGTTAATGAATTTGTCTGCATGAGAAAAAGTATTTCTAAATATGTTGGAACCTCTTGAATCAACATTTTATTAAGTTACACATATTTCTATTTACTTGTAAATTAGCAGACTTCTTCCATCTTTCAACAATGCTCTAATAACAAAGGCTTGTTAAATTCATTATTGCTATAATGCCACTATTTTCCCCAAACTGTATTACAGTATGCTATTTCCTCATCATGAAGTACTCTAATAAAATCATCAGAGAAAAGGAACATTTTATGGTTTATTTTTCTTGCTTTGTAGCCATTCTGTGTGGTGGATGGTGTTGCAATGCTTCTGAAGATTTCGGAGTGCAATAAGTGAGGTTGAATGTTATTTTTCAGAGGTTGTTGAGGCACATCCTTTTGATGCTTAACTGTAAAAAGGCAATGGCAACGGGCGGGAAGTGATTGAGCAAGGTGGAATATCTGTTTTCTGCCACTTCGGAGTTGGTGCCCTTTATGGTTTGTTTTAGGTGTGCAGCTGTTGCTGAATTCAGTGGGAATTATGCGTATATAGAAAACAGAATGCAGCTTCTAGACAGATTCTGTCTTAACCAAAACCATCTTAACTCTAGGCTTCCCTCTCCAAACATCTGACATGCCCAAGTAACTTCTGAAATTGTCAAGATTCTTTCCAGAACCAGAAAGGCCCCAAATCGAAGCAAGCTTTGTTTTGTCTGCATCATTTGTAGTGTGTGCAGGAAAACATGGTTATGAAAAATTGACCAACAGCCAGATATTTATAAATCCTATATTCAAAATAAGCTTTGATGCATAGGAACAGGCATCAGGGCCATCACCGGTTATCAAATCTGCATCAAATGCGTGACTTTTTTGATGTCCCCGTTGGTCACAGTCTCACTGCTGCTAGCAGACCTCAAGCACTCAAGTGGATCCCCTATACACTGTAGGCGCTTTTGCGTGCAGTTACTGCAGCTGGCTGCTTCAGGAAGTCTATTTTTAAGCCCAGTTTTCCCAAGGACTAGATGTACTTCGTTTTGTCTTGGTCACACAGTTTGACTTGCAATTGGATGTGTCGTGCAGGCCAATAAGCCAACACGTCAGGTAGCGCTGTTAGCGTTGGCAATCTTGTCTGCCGTGCAATTAGCCGACCAACACTTGGACCTGGAGGAGTCCAGGTAACCACATGATGTTGTTGACATATTTTAGCATTCATTCTCCCTTTTAATCATGATTTCTGTAATACAGCAGTGAAAATGCATATATGGTTTAATTACTTTTTTATGTGTGTGCAGTGAATATAATTTCACCAACTATTAATAACATAAGGTGTTCTATAATTACTGGTAGCAGCCACTAGAGGGGGGGACATCATTTATACGATAGCATATCTCTTAGCCTTTTACTATTCTTATTGTACCCATCTGTTTTCAGCACTGTAACAATACCTGGGTAAAGTTACAGTATGATGATGGTTGCAGAAACGATGCAAAATGTATCCCTAATCTAAGGTTTTTGTCTTTTCAGGTGTTGTATTTCACTATCGTGCAGCGACCAGCAGGTACACTCTGAATTTTACACAAGCTCAGCAGACTTGTCTGGACAATGGTGCTGTCATAGCAAGCCCAGAGCAACTGAAAGCAGCCTATGAAGATGGATTTGAGCAATGTGATGCTGGCTGGTTGTCTGACCAGACTGTTAGGTGAGACATTTAAAAGGGCCTTTGAACCACTTTCCCAAAATTAATATGCTTAGTCTGTACAGACTTAAAATGCTGACTTATCACAATAATAAATATGAGCATGCTGCCTTTCAGGTATCCAATTAGACATCCAAGAATTGGCTGCTTTGGAGATAAAATGGGAAAGAAAGGAGTCAGAACATATGGGCGCCGTTTTCCTAATGAAACTTATGATGTGTATTGCTATGTGGAACACATGGAAGGTAAGATAGGTCCATGTTTACTCTACACTGCAAAATTTAAAAATGACTGGAGGTTCTAATGTGGAAAGGCAAAGAAATAAGAAATTCTGTGTAAAGTAAGTTTTGGCTGTTTTGAATCTGAAGAGAATTGCTGAATGAAGTGAACCTATAGTTTGTGGTTTAGCAGACCTTAATTAAAGGCGAATGTGGAGTCTACAAAGAGACAGTCAGGTTTAAAACTGCTATAGTTAGTGCAGTAGATCACACAAAATGCTGTTGAAGCATCTTATTTTTTGAATGTTATAAAAAGATTTTCAAAGGAAACACGTTTAATGTTTGAGAAACTACATATACTATATATATATATATAAAAAGATGGATATAGTATATGTGCTTACTGTATTATAGTTCATAAAGTATATAATTAAGGTTTTTACGTGCCCATGGCAAAAAAATTAGATATTTAATTGCAATCCAAGTTTAATAATATCTTTTTTAAAAAAATGGACCTCTCAGCATCAAAAAGAAGCAAACAAGCAAAAACTTTCCAGTGAGGAACCTGTCTCTTCTTTAGTAAAATTCTTTGCAATTCTGTAGTACAACTATAGTCTTTGCAAAAGCTGCTAATTAAACAGCTCTAATACAGCAGAGCAATTATGATTCTGCCACATGGTGACTATGAACCATGGATCATACTGTGAACACCAAGGTATCTTGTGATCCCTGGTTAGACTCTATGATTGGTCTTTATTCAGCAAAGTGTTTGATGGTGAAAAGAAAAATATGGCATTTTTTTCTGTGATTGGCCAGTTCTAGCATGCACAAATCTCTGTATTACAGGTGTGATGTTGTAATCTTTTTTTATAATCTCTCTTCTGGAAGTGAATTTAACTACATCCTTTCAGTGGGCCTATAGATATGTTCCAGACACCAGATATCCTTATACTTAAGCATTACTGTGACTAGTTAAATACGTATACTTAAAATATAAAGGCAGAAATAGCCTTTCCTGTCCTGTAACCTACTTTTTTTTGGCTTTGTGCTGGCTATGCATGTGAGACTTTCATTCTGGTACAGAAATACTTTGCAGCCAGGACCAAAGTACATTTTCCATTTATTGCAGTGGACTAAGCGTGTCACACTGCTTCTGTCTTGACAGGTTTTTATTTCATACCAGTTTCACTGTTCCTTTCTAAAAAAATACTTACAGTTCCTAATTAAATACCTTTTGGGCTCATTGTTGACTGATATGCACTTAGTTTAGTGCTCTTGAAGTCAGCAGAACAATAAATCAGCCATGGCTCTGAGCAAGCCTGCCTTTGTATGTGTACGTATATTTGTAACAAGCAAGTGCAAAATTAAGGTACTCAGTATTGGTTTGTATTCTATCATAGAGCAGAAATAAATCACAGCATGCAAAGTTTTCTCCTGCTGATGACTTCAGAGACTTTAGTCACTGAAATCATTAAGTGTTTTTCTCTTGTAGTAGCCAAGGATCTGCCCCAGACTATGTTCACCTTGGAGAGTTATCAAATACAAGCCATATAAGTCTTGCAAAGACTCAAACCCATATGAGCTTGGGAACTCCAAAAATTAAGAAACAGAAGCGTGTTAGTGCTCACCCTTGCCTTAGTTTACTTATGCACCATCCGTATCTGTCAGTGAGCAGCACATCTGAACTCCTAGAGTTCATAACATTGATCTTCCATCAATCGTTCATGGGATTGAATTCTGAATCATGTCTGAGTCAAGGCTTTCAATTTAAATTTGGATATCTCCTACTTTACAAAAGGAAGTTTTGACTAATCTGTATCATTTCTGAAAGAAGAGCAATGCCTTGTTCCTTTCGGTCTTAAGAACAGAGAAGTGTAACTAGGATGGAGAAGCTTATCCTGGATGTCTGTGAGCCAGCAATTTCTCAGGGTCAAATATTCTCACTGAGCTTTTAAAAATAAAAATTCAAAAAAGTCAGAACTGAAGCCTTTGTCACTGAGGCTAATGTTCTTTGCTCAGAACAACCCGGAACCAGGTGATGATGTTCAAAGAGGTTGCAGCAACTGAGCGTTCTTTGGTGAAGATGCACATGCACAGGTTTTCAATTTCTCATTAACTGAGTCTTCTCTGTTACAAAGTTTCATTTACCAAGATTTATGAGCTGGCTTTCGTCTCTGGATAGCTATACATTTCTGTCCTATTGTTGTGGGTGATGATCTGTTTAAACATATGTCTTCGTGGCCTATCAGGTGGAATGTGGTAACGTGATATAGTTGAATGTGAAGCGTTCAACATCTAAGAAATATAAGCTAGCATAGAATATTGGGGAGATTTGGTCTATCAACCCAGATAACAATGAGCACATTCATTTTACCTTCTTCCTTACACAGTAGCTTCCTGTGGAGAACTGATTAAAGCAAATGCACAGTTTCAGCTTTAATCTTAAAGGCTCCAGAGCCTGGGACAAGGGTTAAAGACTTACAAGGACAAGACCTACAAGGGCTTGTAGGTCTGACTTGAAGTCTGTGATTGACCACAGGCTCTGGAATGGGCTGCCCAGGGAGGTGGTCGAGTCCTCATCCCTGGAGGTATTTAAAAGAAAGATAGATGAGGTGCTTAGGGACATGGTTTAGTGGTGGGATGGCAGGGTTAGGTTAAAGGTTGGACTCGATGATCTCAAAGGTCTTTTCCAACCAAAGTGATTCTATGATTCTAAGTCACTTCACCTCTGGGATCCACTGAAACTCTCCAAGACTGTTACAAAGCCTGTGGTATGGTAATGGCATGCTCATAGAGATGGGTACAGGTTCAGTGTGAAACTCTGCAGGAGACAAAGATGCCTGTGAGTTTCATTACTGTCCTTAGAATCATAGAATCATTTAGGTTGGAAAAGACCTTTAAGATCATCAAGTCCAACCGTCACCCTAACCCTGCCATCCCACCACTAAACCACGTCCCTAAGCATGCTGCCCGGCTTTTAAATACTCCTCCCCAAAGGCAGACTATGTTTGACCTAGCCTTTATCTAAATGATTCTCAGAATATGCATTTGTAAAAATGTTCTGGAATCTTTTCTCCCAGATTAGGAGAGGGCACTCCGTCTTAGGCTGGTACATATTGTACAATTGTTTTGCATTGAAGAGGGTGTGAGACTAAACAGTGTGATAAATGATGGCTGCATGTGTTGTTATGTTAATAGATAATGGCATTGCTACTAGGAGCACTTTACTGTGGCAGTAAGATGAATCTGAGAAGAGAATAGAATTCCCTTTACAGTTTTACCATTGACTTCAAGAAAGCAGTGTCAGGTCAACACTGAGCACATAGGAAAACTTACCCTTAAGCTATCTATGTATGTGCTGTGAAGAGGTGACTGCTGGAAAAGAGAATTGCCAATTAGCTGTACAGCCTCAGCCTGCTGCATAGGGAGTTTTTTTTCTGATTATATTGATCAATTTTAATGGCAGGTTATTGTAATAGCTAATCAAAGATACTTCCCCCCACCTTTTTTCTTTTTTTTTTCCCACCCCTATTTTCTCAGAAGTTTTCAAATGAACTCGAGTCAGAAAATAATTTCTAGGAATCAGAAAGAGTGATGCTTTTATGGATATAGGGTATAGTCATGTTACACTGACGTGCAGAGGAGTTCACTTACTCTGTTTAGATGGAGAGAAACAGATTCATGTTAGCAAGACACAGTACCTCATCAAGGTATAGGGCAGGATAAATTGTTCTTCAGTGTCTTCACAGAAACCTGAGCCTCTGAGCCAAACTTCCTTTTTATGATGGGACTAAGGAGCCAAGATGGCTTTGTCTATATGACTGAAGCACTTTCTGTAAGAACAAAAGTTAATTTCAAATGCAGAGCTTGTTTGAAGTTACATGGCATCAGTGAGATTACACTTTGGAACCACTCATTCACAGAAGACAGAGAATTAGATAAAATGTCAACAGAAGTTATTGGAAAGCAAAATTGCAGTAAACAAGATCCTGTGTTTTGTTTCCTGTATTGCAACACATTCATATGTTGGTAGAAGACTTACAGTTCAAGGTTTAAGGTTATGCCAAATTTCTGATTGCTCTATCCACCTAAGGATGATTCCACAATGTATGGACTTTCTCTAGTAATGAGTGCTCTCAACACTTCATTAATAACAGAGGGCATTCATGGTACTTAGTATACTGTAGAACTATGCTTAAACATGATTTTTCCCATGTGAATTTGAAAGTTCATATCTGCATAGCCTATTCTGTTTCAATGCCAAATCTATCAGACTTTCTTACACTGAATAGGTCCTTATTTGGAGAGCCTGAGCCAGTGGGATGACTATTCATGGAATAAGATGGTGCTCAATTAATGATATCAAAATCTGGACCATAATGAGAATGTCATCATGGAAGTCATTGAGCATTTATTGGTCTGTTGGCCGCCATTAACTTGTTACCCCAGAAGGCCATAAATGGTGGTAGGAACTCTTGCAATACACTTTGACATAAATGTGTATTGAATTTACAGTACTAATTTGGGTACTTGCACTGAGAATTTGTAGGAGCAACACCATTTCAGTTTTCTTCCTTTCTGGCCATATGAAATCACAAAGTTAGCCAGAGACATGGATTTCTCCTTGAAACACAAGCTATTAGCTTAAATTAAAAACAGTTGTCTAGGCTAACTCTTACCATTTCCTTGTTCCAAGGAAAGCCAGAGAAATTAAAGTCTGCACAATTATAAGTTAAATATTTGAGTTTTTCTAAAAACCACAGAAGAATAATTATGGGAAGGATTTAAAATTTCTGAGCTCTTAGTGATAAAAATAAGAATCTGGAGTCAAAATATAATTAAATAGGTACTGGGCATAGTCTCTTATTACAAACTGATTTACATCCGTCATATTTCATCACATATTTCAGTGTACTAAACATTAACAAAAACATTTAGGATACCTTTAATAAAGAGCATAAAGTGATTGAGCTGCAAAGGTTTGGATATAACTCTGGGGTTCTCCTAACACCTCCAGCTGAAGCGGT